TAATATCATATATAAATAATAATAATTAAAATAACTCATCTTCATAATCCTCACAAATTTACATTTTAAAATTTAAAACCAACATTTCTATATAGTCATTTAATCTAAAATTTAATTTGAATTTATGATTTATTATTTTCAACCATAACTTGCTAATGTAAAATGATTATCTTTCACATATATGTGCCGTGTAGTTTTAGTGATATTCTTTGTAGTTTGTTTCATTTAACAATTTCAACTATTGATTAAATCTTGTTATTTTTTTTGGGTTCATCTTCTGTAATTTTTTGGTCAAAGAAAAATAATTATCTTCCAAATATGTTTTTGACAATAATTTCAATAAGTGACCACCACAATTGTTAGATTTTCGTTTTTTAATTCAAAATTAATGTAGAAAAAGGGAAAATTACTGAAATATTTCTCTCCAATTTTGTGTAGGAGAAGAGATCCAAGATTTTTTTTTATTAGCTAAGGTCTTTCAACATTTTCACAGAGAAAATTGATTCAGAAAAATTTTATTATATATATATATATATATATCTTATGACAGAAAATCCTATAAGCAAACATAGTTCAACTTCTTACACTCTTAACTCTCAAAACTGAAATCAGTTGAAGATTTCTTTAATTCCATATTGCGATTTTGAAGATTGAATCATTACATATTATAATGAGATCATTACAAAGTGTACTATGAGTTCAATAGATTGAATCATGTAATCAAATCCCGTCAATTCATAAATTACTCATTCTCCATTACATTATTGCATTAGAAATTTTTTAAAGAGAATTTTGTCAAAGGTCCTATTTACTCTACTAATATTCCATTAAGTCTTACTTATTTGAAAAAAGCCCAATAAGTCCCATCCCAAAATTAATTGACTAAAATAATACCACCACAATATATATAGGGCAAATTACACTTTACCCACCTCAACTATCATCTTTTTTCACTAATATAACACATGCACATTGCATGCACATTTTTTTGTCTATTTTGTTAACAGAATAAAGGATTAGACTGAAAACTTTCAGGAGATGACAGAGGTACATTATATCAATTTTTAGTTTCAGGGGGGTAAAATGTAATTTTCCTATATATATATATATCTTTTGACAAAAAATCCTAAGCAAACGCAGTTCAACTTCTTACACTCTCAATTCTCGAAATGCAGATCGGTTGAAGATTTCTTCAACTCCATATCGCGATTTTGAAGATTTGTTTCCAAAAGCATTCATAATCGAAATCCTAACATTCGCAATCCAAATCGTAGTCTACTCCAACTGATTTCGGAGTTTCAAATACGTCGAAAATGAGAAAGTTACACCCAATCGAAACCCTAATCTACTGTAATTTTCTTTAATATCTTGTTCTTGTTGTCGATTACATTGTAATTGTTCTTTACAATCTGATTATTGCATTGCTTATTTGTTCATATCTTGTTGCAAAATTCATTTTATTCAAATTAGTCGCTGCAAGTCACACCCAAATCAATATTGTATAAATACATTTGAGAAATTTCTCAATTTTTTTAAAATAAAAATTACAAATTTCTTGGCATTTCCCCCCCTTCCTTTTCTTTATATCTCCATCCCCTTTCTCTGTTTTTCTTTAACACACTTGTACAAAACCAAAATATTGAATAGAATTGAGAAAGTCTTCAATTTGTGCGAAACTGAGAAATTCTCAATTTTAATTGAGAGAACAGTTAAAATTAAAATTTTCTCAATTTCGCATAGCTATATTTTTCAATGTTCTATATCGAAATTGTTTAGTCTAGAGAGAAAAAACAAGACCACTTTGCTTCACAAGGAAAAAGCAAAATCATCCAATATTTATTCAAATCTTGAAAATCAAAGTTACACAACTAGAACAAGAATTTGAAAATCAATAAACTCGTTCAACCAATTTCACGAGCTACCAATAACGAATTTGGAAACATTTACCTCATCTCCTTACATCACAAACCGGGCAAATTTCTTATAGGACTTAGATGAGACCTCTAGGTAATTAATCCATATTTTTAATTAAAAGTATTATTTAGAGACATCAATTTTTAATATGGAAAATAATAATTACTTTTTGAAATGCAAAACCAATATTCAAAATTGGATTTAGTAAATTCATTCATTACAATATTTAATTTCTTATTTTTGGGAATGAAATTAATTTCTTATTTTAGTAAATTTTCTTATATTTGGGAATGGAATTAAACTTTAGTTTCTATGAATGACAAAACTCTGAAACAAAAGTAGATTTTTTAATGCAAAATAAGGCCAAGTTTGACATATTGCAAAAAAGTCAAAAAGTCAAAAAGTTACTCAAAAAGTTAAAAAGTTAACACTATTCACCAAAAGTCAACAATTACAAGGCAGGCGAGTTGGTTCCCTACAAATCAATTTTTACAATTTTTTATTACACATTTTTTCATAAAAAGTCAAAAATTTAACTCAAACATCCATATTTTCTTCCTCAATTTTTTAGTCCAAAAAGACAAAAAGTACACTTATTTAGGACACTCCAAACAACCCCTAAATAAGAATAAAACTATATTAGAGAAAATGATCAAAGTATTTTACATATCATAAGCATACATAAGGGTATGGATCAATACTCTCTACTTTGCTATTAACTAATAATGCTATTCGAATCAAAATAATGGTATTAAGTATATACTGATTGTTGATTTAATTAAGTATATAATTTTTTTTGTATTAAAACTGAAATTAAGTACACAATGATGTAGTGTAATATGTACGTTCTACTTTAAAATAAAACACCCATAAAGATGAATTTATTTACAAGTTTGGCATTGGGAAATTATTTTGTAATTTTTTATATGAATTTTATGTATGAATAGAGTTTTCATATCGGATTAGTTTTAGCTTTCATTTTTATTTTTTTAATTATAATTCTTTCAAAAAAAAAATAATTCCCTATGGCATGTCAATTGTCAATTAATTAGCCAATATTTTTTTGGCTAATTTATATAATCATATAAATTGTCAACCATAAGTAAGATTTACCATGTGTTTTATTATGCTTTATGGTTCAAAATTTCCATTTTTTTTTCAAATTAAAAACATTACAGATAAGCACTAATCATGTGTTGTCAATCTCTTTATTTTTTTCAAGAAAGTTAACTAATACTTTATCAGTTGTTTCCAAAAAAAAAAAAGAAAGAAGCTTGAAAACATTGTGTTGATATCCATTATTATGATTGTAATTTAATGTAATATCATATATAAATAATAATAATTTAAAATAACTCATTCTTCATAATCCTCACAAAATTTACATTTTAAAATTTAAAACCAACATTTCTATATAGTCATTTAATCTAAAATTTAATTTGAATTTATGATTTATTATTTTCAACCATAACTTGCTAATGTAAAATGATTATCTTTCACATATATGTGCCGTGTAGTTTAGTGATATTCTTTGTAGTTTGTTTCATTTAATAATTTCAACTATTGATTAAATCTTGTATTTTTTTGGGTCATCTTCTGTAATTTTTGGTCAAAGAAAAATAATTATCTTCCAAATATGTTTTTGACAATAATTTCAATAAGTGACCACCACAATTGTTAAGATTTTCGTTTTTTAATTCAAAATTAATGTAGAAAAAGGGAAAATTACTGAAATATTTCTCTCCAATTTTGTGTAGGAGAAGAGATCCAAGATTTTTTTTTATTAGCTAAGGTCTTTCAACATTTTCACAGAGAAAATTTGATTCAGAAAAATTTTATCCGACTCAGAAAAAATTTCAGCCTGGATTCAAAGAAATTTCTCTATGAAAATTGAATTTTTTTTGAGTCGGGACTAAATTTCTCCGAGTCGAGCAAAATTTTTCTGAGTCCAATTTTTTTTGCGAAAATGTTGAAAGATTTTAACAATTATGAAAATATTGTATGTCATTTATTTTATAAAATTTTAATATTAGAAATTTTTTTTAAAAAAATTCTTTAAAAAAAGCGTAAACATTAATAAAATTTTTATGTATGTTTTTTTTTTTTTGCTATTTGTACTATGTAATTGTTTTAACGCTTATGCCATTGAGATAAAGCCTGCGGCTACACCGACTTATTGTCAATTTATTTTTTTGATAAAAGTATCTGGTATTCCTAGCACTATTGTAAAGGTACTTACGTGTACGTCTAAATAAGTGAATTTATTATTTAATAGGTCTTAAGGAAAAAAATTGTCATAAAAAAATATCACTAATTTTAAGTTTTAGCGATAATTTATAAAAATCATGACAAAAAAGTCATTAATTGTTAATTTTTAGTGACATATATAAAAAATTATCACAAAAAAAATATTTTTAGCTACAATTTTATCAAGACTTATTTTCAATAGGACTTGATGAGAATTAAGTCTAACTATTAGGACCTATGAGTAGTTTATCCCTACTTTTTTTGTAATTCTATGGTCCATGCCATAATAAAGATTTTTTAAAATTCAAAATTAGTATTCAAAAAAGAATCAGTAAATGTTATTTATTACAATATTCAAATGTTATCACACAATTTTATTTTTTGTTTTATTTATTTATTTATTATTAATTACCAAATAAAAAAAATTAGATACACACAATTGAAACAATCCAAGAATCATTTAATGCAAAGGAAATAAAAAGGAAACAAAATTAATTAAAAATAAAAAATAAATCAATTTTTATTCCATTTGCTTTAAATAATGAATTAAATTGAAAGAAAAAAAAATTAATTCAAGCTGGTCAATTTTTATTTAAATACAGCTTCATCTCCAAACGGCTCCCTCACACAAAAACCAGTTCACAGAGAGAGAGAGAGAGAGCTCTTCTGCAGATATATGTATGTTTGAATTCATTCATATGTGTATATCTTATATATATATATGTCATTTAGAAACTTTTCATGGTGTCTTAAGAATGATTCTTTAACTCTGTTCTCTCTTTCTTTGTAACTAACCATATATATGTATATATGTGTGTGTGTGTGTGTGTATGTATTGATGTTTTCTGTGTATAGAAACTGTATGATCTTCTGAAAGTTTCAAACTTTTTCAAATGGAAAACAACAACATTACTCAAAACCCCACCGTGGAAGTGGCTGCGGCAGCGGCGGAGATAACTGCCGAGGAGGTGGCGGTAACAGGGTCTGGCGCCGATGAATATGCCGCCGTGAACGGTGGTGTGGAGGGACAAGTAACTGTTCGGAGAAAGAGAGGCAGACCTAGAAAGCATGAAGTGGAAGAGAACTCTCCATTGCCTATTTCACCTGACTTTTTGGCTTCTCCGGTACGTATTACTCTGAAACGGGGACGAGGAAGGCCTCGCGGTACCGGTAAATTGAAAAAGCTTGCTTCTTTGGGTGAGTTTTATCTAACCGTTCAATTCAAATTAATCTTCAGAGTGTATATATATATATGTGTGTGTGTGCGCTTGTTATTTGATTGTGTTCCAGAATTTGATCATATGGTTTTTAATTGGTAATATAGCAATGGAGTAGATTTTGGTATGAAAAATGGAGTTTTTATTGGTTTGTTCACAATTGCATTGATTATGGTTTACAATGAATTGATATATTTGTTGGGTTTTGTCAATTTTTGTTTTTTTTTTTTTAAATTTTATTGATTGATTATAATATTCTGAAAGAGATTTGATTTTAGGTTGTATGAGATGGCTTAACCAGAGGTTTGTTTTGTTTATCTGAGGAGTGTGGATCTAAGTACTTTGGCAATTGGGTTAAAAGCCTTAGGTTTTTTGATTTTTTTGAGTCACTATTCTTGGTTTCACTTTTCAAAAAATATTTTTCAGAAATTTTTACTTTCTTATTTTTTATGTTTTTTTGTTTTTACTGATTTTTTTTAATATTTTAAGCAATTTTTAAAATTTTTAGACATACCTAACTTAGATATATCTAAAAAGTAAAAAATTTGTGAAGAAAACCTTTTAAAAATTCATTAAATACCCAAAAAAAAAAAAAAAAAAAAAAAAACGAGAATTCAGTACATTTTTTGTATTTTTATGTATTTATTTATTTTTAAAAATATTTTTTTACAATTTTTTTACTTTTTAGATACATCTAAGTAAGGTACATCTAAAAAGTAAAAAAAAATTTGTTTAAAATTTAAAAAATATTCACTAAAAACAAAAAAACAAAAAAACTAAAAAACTTAATTTTCAAAAAACTCAAACCAAACACACTATTATCTTTCTACTTCTTACACGTTTTTTCAAAAAAAAAAACTAAAAAACTGGCTTTTAATCTACTACTCAAAATAGGGTAGAGGCACAAGCGCACATATGTGGCACGACACGACGCGACATGTGTGGGACAAGGGCAAAACATATAATTCTATTTATTTATTATATATCATATATTTATTCTCATTAAATTAATCAATCTTGGTAATATGGTATGCTACTTGGGTGAAAAAAAACTAAATTTTTTCTTACACCGCTGTGTCCCCCAACGTGTCCATTGTGTGTCCCCATCGCGCCATTTCCTCTAGCATGTCCATAGTTTGTTCGACATGTGTCTGGCACAACTCCGTCATGTCTAACACGTGTTGGGCATTGGTTCATGACCTCTAGAGACGTGTATGTGCTTTATAGTCTTTCTGGCAAGTGCTGTTATGCAATCCATCATTTACTGATATAATCTGTCATTACAGTTTTGAATCCTTATATTTAGTTGCAGATAGGGTATCCTTTATACTAGATGTCAGTCAATTGCTTGGAGACATCAAAATTTTGCATAAATGGATGGGCTTGGCATCAGTTTGCACACATAATATGATCCCTTCATATAACCATATGTTTTAGTTGCCTCTTTCTGGTACTAGCTTATTATTGTCCTGACTAAAATTGAGAAATTTCTTACATTTATTTATAGAAAATTGAGAGTTGAGTGTGACTTGCTGCAACTAATTTGAATAAAATGAATTTTGCAGCAAGATATGAACAAATAAGCAATGTAATAACTAGATTATACAAGAATTGCAATGTAATCAACAACAAGAACGAGATATTGAAGAACGATTAAAATAGACTAGGGTTTCGATTGGATGTAACTCACGCTTTTTCGACATATTTGAAACTCCAAAATCAGTTGGAGTAGACTATGATTTGGATTGCGAATGCTAGGATTTCAATTCTAAATGCTTTTGGAAACAAATCTTCGAAATCACAATATGGAATTGAAGAAACCTTCAACCGATCTAAGTTTTGAGAGTTGACAGTGTAAGAAGTTGAACCACGTCTGCTTAGGGTTTTCCTCCATAAGATATATTTTGTGTGGGTATTTTGGTCAACTAATTTTGGGATGGGACTTATTGGGCGTTATTCAAATCAGTAAAACCTGATTGAATATTAGTTGGGTAAATAGGACCTTTCAAATTTCATAAATGGATAGGTTTGGCATCAGTTTGCACATATGATATGATCCCTTGGAAGAGTGGGCCAAATATAACCATATGTTTCTATTAGTTGCCTCTTTCTAGTGCTAGCTTATTGTCCTGACTAAATCTTGTCATTGACCTTGCATAGCTTCATCATATTGAAACAAGTGAAGAAAGTAGTTGCAAGGAGTGTAGGGTCACTATTTTGTCTCCTCTTAAGTGTTTTGCTAAGAAGCACGGACACGTCTAAAAAGTGGATTGTTCGTGTCGTGTCCGTGTCAGACACTGACACTAGATGGACACTTCCTAACACTTGTCTGATACTCATCCAAACTTGTCTTAATTTTTTTTAAAAAAAATTTAGACTATAATACTCTTCGGACACTTAGATAAGACACATGTCCTCTGTTTAAATATGCTTGTCCATTCTTACCTTCTTGGGGCTCCATGGACCAAGATCTTCTTTCATTATATGGGCAATACCGATCTATTTTAGTAGATCATATGGTTGTAGAAAAAGCTTATAATTTTAATGAATTGGAAACATCTCTTTTAAACACACGTGTCTCTTGGAAATGTCTCTTTTATACTCTGATACTCTTCGGACACTTAAATGACACATGTGTCATTTGTTTAAACACACGTGTCCATTCTTACCTTATTGTGACTCCATGGACCAAGATTTGCTTTCATTATATGGGCAATACCAATCTACTTTAGTAGATCATATCGATGTAGAAAAAGATTATAATTTTAATGAATTGGAAACGTCTCTTTTAAACACACGTGTTTCTTGGAAACGTCTCTTTTAGACTCTGATACTCTTTGGACACTCAGATGACACGTGTGTCCTTTTTTCAAAGGCACATGTCCATTCTTACCTTCTTGGAACTCCATGGACCAAGATCTTCTTTCGTTACATGGGCAATACCGATCTACTTTAGTAGATCATATGGATGTAGAAAAAGTTTATAATTTTAATGAATTGGAAACGTCTCTTTTACATTTCTATTTACACAGTTCATATCTTTGTTTCGTGTGTTGCTGGGAGGAATTCGATCTCTTCAATCTCGGGACACCCACTATTCCTTCTTTTCTATCGAATCGATCATAACTACTACCTACATTTTACGAAATTGTGCACCACAAATAGGTGCTAATAAAGAGACCCATGATCCCATAGAAAGACATTACAAGCCCTTGTGGAAAAAAAATGATTTGTTGAGACGTTATGATTTGTTGTGACGGAAATAAGATATCAAATTTCTAACACACGAAACTAATTACAACTTTGAAGAAAATAACTTAGAATATGATGATAAAAGAAAAACTATGTCAATTTATAGAAATTAGTATTATATTGTATTTATTGTCTTATCTTGGAATGATATAGTCATATATATGACATATAATAAATATATAAAATTATATATTCTGTACGTGTCTCCCACGTCATGTTGTATTCTACAATTTTTTGAAAATTTCTATACCGACATGTTCGTGCTTCTTAGGTTTCTTGTAATAGTGTTTTTTGTACAAAATTTTTGGAATTGTCGAACAATTAAACTTAAATCCAAGGAGAGAGTGTTTGGGCTACACCTTGTCTCACTAAAGTAAATTTTTCTGAACTGCTACCAATCATTTGGTCTATTTTCTCAGGGCTTATTAGTCCCTGAAATAGTTTGAGGCATCTAATTGGCTTCATATTTATCCTTTGTTGTGACATAGAAGACTAAACACAACCCCAAATTCTTTTACTAGTTGCTCCATTGTGACCAGCACTTTGTGGGTTCAAACCACAGAAATAGCCTCTCTCTGTATGTGGAGGTAAGGCCGTGTACATTTAACCCTCCCAGACGGCATAGTGATGGGGGCCTCATGCACTAGCACTGCCATTTAGTTGTTTGGTTGTGGATGCTATGCTATCAAAGCCCAACACACGTACATATATTTTGAAATCCATGATTAAGGCTTCACGTTCTGCATAAATAACACGACATTTAGTTTCTAATTCTGTTGCAAACTGAGTGCTTGAATGAGTCCCGTACATAATTTATTGTAAGTTTGCGATCCATGTTTTCCATCAAAAACCAATTTCCATGGAATTAACTGGGAACAATTTCATTGTCCACCTTCGTTGATTTCAACTAAATATTGGAGGGCGTGGAATTTGGACAACTGAGCTAAAATATAGATAATCAAATTTATACCGGTGAATGGGTGGACATGCCATGCTGCACCTTTTACTAACAACACCTAGAGAGATACCACCATCTATTGGTGTGATTAAATATAAGTTCATGAATCATCTGGAAATTTTATTAGAACCTGAATTTGATCTCGATCTATAATTTCTGACAAATGATTGAGACAAATTGGCCAAGACTTCTCATCAGTTCCATGGTTGGTTATGTGAAAACATTGGAATCTATTCAGAGGAACTTGTTAGCTAATGCAATAAAACAGGCTAAATTTGTTTAATTACATGAATGTTCCCTTTACATGGATCTTTAGAGAAGTCTATAACTTCTGAAACTATGGTGTTTTGTCTACATTATATTAGATACCATGATGATAACATATTGAGAATATATCTCATCTATCCCTCAAAATACATTACTAGGATATAAAAGAATTAGAGTTTACTTGTTCTACATTTTGTTTCAGAGTTGTTACATTTAGTCCATCTGTATGTGCATGTGTGCATGTGTGGATGTATATATGTTTGTAGTAAGTATATCTTAATACTCATGAAAATACAAAACTAAGTATTTGGCAGTGTACGATTTACTAAATATGCTGATTCCCTAATCCAGTTTTTATGCATGTAGAGATGTTGCACTTCATTCATTGGCGACTTTTATTACTTTTCCATGTGAATGCTCCCGTTGATGTCCATTATTTTGTTGCTTAAACATTTTTTTATGACAAAGTGAACTGAAACAGAATTGGTATGCTTTATTTGACGCATTCTTTCCACGAATTGAATAGCTTTGCTGCATATACTTGAGATTTTTTTCTTGCCACTAATTTTCTGGTGAAGGTGGAGTTGCTGTAGACACAACTGGACGTGACTTCACTCCTCATGTGGTAAAGATAAAAGTAGGAGAGGTACCGTTAGATATGGAAAGGAAGTTTCCCTTATCGTCTTGTATTTAATGTCTGTCTGTTCTTCATTTCTTGTCAAGTTGCTACTATTGGTGGGCGTACATGAGATGATTACTTTTTGATTTTGTAGGACATTGCCGAAAAAATAGTGTCATTTTCTCAGGGAGGTCCTCGAGCCGTCTGTATTCTTGCTGCTACTGGCCCTGTTTCTACAGTAGATATTCACCAAGCTGGTTCTTTTGGCAGCGTTATTTTAAGATATGAGGCATGATCAGATACTAACTGTTTTGTTTTCTGCATCTTCCTATTTTTAATTTATTTCTGACATGATTTTTAAAGGATGAAATATTGGTATTATATTCTTGCTTGTGATTGAGATATCTTCTCTTTTTGTTCTGCTAGTTATTGGGATTTTGTTTCTTGTAGCTTCTATAGAGACTCCATCCCTTTGCCAGAAAAATTTCAAAAAATAGAAGTAAAAAAAAAAAAGAGGAAAAGTTTGACTTTGACCATGAAAAACATGAGGGATCCCAAAATGTTGTAAAACAATCCCATGGTGTTAATGATCCCACTCTAATCAAGCAATCACATGGTACATCGGAATTGTATTTAAATATGAATTTTAAAGATGAAAAGGTTAGTTAGGGGGTTATGCGCACATGGACCAAACCATGGGGGTAAAGTGAACTCTGCTGGGCTGGAAACTAAGGAATCACACAAAAGATTTGATTGCATTGCAAATGCAACCTCCACGGTTTTTGCATTTGAATTATAGGATTTCAGCTCTTTGATGTCATACAAAGAAAAAGAAACAGTTTTTTCATTCATGCATTATGAATCCAAAAAAGAATTTTCTTTTATTTTTTGACGTTTAACTTCTCCTGTCATCCTTCATGCAGGGCTGTTTTGAGCTATTAACTCTAACTGGGTCACCTGCGTTTAATGAAGTGGGAGGTGTACGGCGCAAAATAGGCATGTTAAGTGTTTCGCTGGCCAAACCTGATGGGACAGTTTTTGGTGGTGCTGTTGCAGGATCTCTAATTGCAGCTGGGCCAGTTCAAGTAAGCCTTACTTTCATCTCTATAATTGGAATTGCTAAAATAGCCTTGTATTTTGTTCTACTATAACTCCTGTTGATCCTAAAGGTAATCTCAGTTCTTAGGCCTCGTTTGGCAAGAGGCTATTTTAGCCAATTAGCTAAAAAGTTACTAATTTAGCCAAAAAGCCAACAATCCATACCAAAAAGTCAAAGATTCTCTTTTCTCTCTACTTTTTGCACATCTTTTCGTAATTAGCCAAAAAGTCATCCCAAACATACAAGTTTTTTTTACCTACTTTTTTAGCCAAATAGCCAAAAAGTTACTAAATTAGCCTGTTCCCAAACGAGGCCTTAGTAGTTCTTAAAGTCCCACCAAACTTCATTCTAGCTGCAGTTAGAGAGGTTCTTAAAAAATTCCTCAAAAAAATCCAAAAAACCTTCATTTTTAGCAATTGTTTTATCTCCAAGAATGTATGGTGCTTCACTTACACAACCGTTTAGCTGACATGATCAATATAAAAAATTTTGCTATGCGCAACCTTGTCATTTACTCTGCAAATGACAGTGAAGTGAATGTTCTGCTTGTGTTACTGTTTTTAGATTGTGGTATCTATAAGATCCATGTAATACTAATGTAATTTCTTTTTTGATGACAGTGAAGTGAATGTTCTGCTTGTGTTACTGTTTTTAGATTGTGGTATCTATAAGATCCATGTAATACTAATGTTAATTTCTTTTTTGATTTACCAGCTCATTATAGCAAGTTTCAAGCAGATTATCAAGAAACAACTTCTCAAGAGGCACTCTGCTGAATCTTCAACAGCTAACGGCATGCCTGGTGGTGATTTGGATACTGTAAGAGTTCTGAGATCACAGGGTAAGACAAAAAGTGTTGAAGAGAACGGTGTTGCGACACACCCTTCTCGGTTCCCAGAACTACCCAGTGGGACAAGGAATAACATCGGTGACCAAAATGATAATCTTGTCTTCGATCAAGAGGCTTCACAACCATCAGAGCACATGTCAGATGAGAGTATGTTTGACATCAATGATAGTGTTATTGAGATCGATTGAAATGATACCGAGGGGCGACTTTCTTTCTTCTTCATGTTATCAGGTGAAATGTTCCATACTTTCAGAGAGTGGTGGTAGCTTTGGCAGTAGTTAAAGTATATTTTACTAGTGCTTTTATAAACCTTTGGAACTTAAATATTTGTTGTTTTCTATGTTCGTTTGCTATTTATTTCACAAACCCTTTTAGACAAAAGGTTGCCGTTAATTTTTTTGTGTGCGCGCTATATAGAAAATTAATACCTAAAAGTTCAAGTTTCTGGTAAATGGTAGTTTGTTAAGAACAGCATCATGTAATCTTTTACAGTTACTTTAAATGGAATGATAAGCTGTTTGTGGGTTGGTGTTCTAAAACCATTTTGATTTGGTATATTTTGCATTATTTCCAATTTATTGATTATCTAATGCCATTGATGAACCCTGTTCAAGTAGTAGAGTGCTTCTAATTAGACATTTGCAAATAACCTATAAGTTTTGGCATCCAGACTTATTTGCCTGACTGCTGCAACTGCGGCTATGACTCCAATTGCTGCGAAAACTACAGCAATGGTGACATTTAACCAGAAAACCGGGTTTTGCTTCGACGGCTTAAATGTCAAGTTGTAGAAAACTACAGGCAGAACAAAATCGAGTGGCAAAAATCCGAAAGCTCCAATCACTGCATTGATGTCGCCAAAGAAGGGAAGCATTGCAGCAATTGTTGTTGCTATGATGACTCACAGTGATCGATAGATCAACCTTGGGATGACATTCCGGGAAGAGAACTCACCGCTCTTGGGGTCTGCAAAAGTTCGCTCGAGCAACTCATTTGTGGGCTGCAAATAAACCTGCAAGAGACAATGCAGTTAACTAGCTGTGAATATGTGCTGGTTTTGGCAGTTGACAGTTAGAGATGTATGTTGTTTTTTACCACACCAACAGTTGCTAGTTGGAGAACAATGGAGATGTTAGACATGAAAAAGAACCATTTGGGGACCAAAGCTTTGCCATCAATACCCAAGAAGTTGGTGAGGATTTGACCAGAAGCTTGGTTGCCAAATGCCCAATACCCAGAAATGGCTACACCAAGGAAAGTTACTATCACTACTGCACAACAAACACATAGTGCTTTGAACATCTTCCCCTTTACTGGTGGAGCCAGGGTTGCCTATAAATGAAGTAAAAAAAAAAAACAAAAAATCCTCAACTAAACAATGTTTGTAAATTATTTATTTATTTATTAAAGGCACGAGATTCTCTGTCTTCTCAAATCTATAATTCCTTTTCTCAGTTCACTTTCAATAGCACGATTATTCTTAGCAAAATGTGTTGGAAATGGTAGAAAAATTCTGGGTAAAATCAGAATTTTTTTTCTCAAGTTTGGTCTATTTTTTAGGTGGGCCCCGAGCATCGATTTACTCGGGTCAAAGTGGTAACGTGTTCTATGCCTCTATGCCGCGTTGTGATTCACGTGGTATATTTGGTTGCTCAAAACCATTACCGAGTGAATGGGAAATTGAAGCCAAAGTGTGCTCCATGGAAATGGAGTTATGGTGGAAATTCCTTAAGGTTGTAAATTGGCTTGTCCCACATTGATTTGGTTGGAAGTTTTGAAAAGGTTTATAAGGCTTAGGGTGAGATACTTGGGGTGTGCCCCAAGGGGTACCCAAGTGTTTTAGAGGGAGAGGTTACGGGCAAAATGGGCTAGACCCAAAAATCACCACGCGCCGCCGGCCGTCCGGGCAGTGCGTGGTGTGTGGTTGGGTTGGGCTTCTAATCTTTTTGGGGTCTGTTTGATTTATTAACCCAACAGATTCAAATCTGTTTAAATTTGCTGCATTTTATTTGTGAAAGAATTCAATTCAAAACCAAAAGCCACCTTTACATAAATCATTTCATCCTGGGAGATAGACGTCCAAATTCTGAAAGCACATTTGTAGTGCTGCTATTGTTTGTGGTCTGAAAGCACCGTGGAGATGACGAATCTGTCTTAAGGACACAGTGTTAAATACTGGACTTGATCAGAAAAGTTATTCAAATAAATTAACCAAGTAAGTTGTTTAATTTTATTCTGTTTTTTATTTGATTTTTTAATCAGATTTTTTTTTTTGTTTTTGTAACAAAATAAAATCTGTGGTTTTATTTATTTATTTTTATTTCGAGTTTGATTTTGGTAATTAAACAAATTCTCTCCTTTTCTTTATTTCTTTTTATTCTTGTTGTTGTTTTGTACACAACAGAATTTAATCGTTTAAATACAGTGAAGATTGTCGAACAAAATGATCATACCTCAAGATTTTTATATTTTGAGATTTTCATAATATTGTATGATTGGAAGTGGATTAAGATAGGAAATCCGGATTTTTGAATTTTTGGGACACAAGATCCCTGGGTGCATTTTAGTAGGTTGAATATGTGCTAAAACAACAAAATTCTTAAAAGAAATGATTTAAGGATGATAGAAACCTGGGATTTCAGGAAGGAATGATTCCATTCCCATATGTTGCTGCAATGATGGCAATGGCATTGAAGATACCGAAAACACGAGTTTGAGTGTCACCGTTCATGGAGTAGTCCTTTTTTGGCCCCTTGGATGAACTTCCTAAAAAAAAGAAGAAAGATTAAAAAAGAATACTTCATGATGAGATTTTATTACAAGTGCATACAATGATATTCCCTCTTAGATGATGTAGATTAAAATTGAATTTGAAATGTTGCTTTCTGTAATTTGTTTTCAAAACAAATAAAATCAAAAGAAGAAAACATGATCTGTGAGTTGCTAGAAAGGGTGTAGTGGCCAGAGGGGGAAAGTCATTGGCGGAGGGATAGGAGGAAGGAAATGAAAATTTGTTTTGAAAACAAGTGAAAACATGTTATTCTCGCTTTTACTTTATGAAACTTGTTGCTATTTTTTTTGGCAACAAAAACTATTCAATGTGTTTGGTTTGAGTTTTTTGGATTAAGTTTTTTGAAAATCGAGTCTTTTGGTTTTCGTATTTTTTTGTTTTTAGTGAATATTTTTAAAATTTTAAATATTTTTTTTACTTTTTTAGATGCACCTCACTTAGATGTATCTAAAAAGTAAGAAATTTGTGAAAAAATATTTTAAAAAATTAATAAATACATAAAAATATAAAAAATGTACTAAATTCTTGTTTTTTTTTTTTGTATTTTTGGTATTTTTCACAAATTTTTTATATTTTTTTCACAATTTTTTTTACGGTATATTTATGTTAGGTATGTCTAAAAAATAAAAAAAATATTGTTTAAAATATTAAAAAAATTCAGTAAAAACAAAAAAAACACGGAAACACGAGAAAGTAAAATTTTCTGAAAAGTGTTTTTGGAAAAATGGAACCAAGCAAAGTGATTAAATTTTTTTTTTTTTCAATTTTCAACGTTTTTTAAAACTAAATAAACAACAGAACCAAAAATGATACCAAACTGAGATAAGATTTACCTATCTAAATTGTGTGGGTGATTTTCCGACCACACTGCCCGCCTAGTAATCAGCTGGAGAGCACCGGCAGAATAGATGGCTTCAGCAAACCTGTAACAGAAAAAAACTCCGGCGGTGGCTCTTCCACCCGGGGGCACTCCGACGATCAAGTCAGTATATTTCTCAAAGATAATCAAGTGCTAAACTCACTACTCAAAGCATCAAATTACGTACCTTAGACCCACGGGGGTGTCTCTCTTTTATAGTTTACTTAATCCTAGTTCCACTAGAAGCCTGATTTCTATGGACTCCCATTTAGTGCTTACGTTGGATTTCTCAAGAGATAAAGATAAACTCCCTAAGAGCTTTATCCTTATCTTAGCAAAGTCTTCTCTTTACTCTAGGACTCTTGCCCCTTATCCATTATCCGCTTATCTCGGATTCCGATATCTTCGGAGATAACCTCGGCCTCGCCGAAATAACCTCAGCGTCACAACCAGAACACGTGGCACTTCGGCTGACACGTCGGCGTCACCTTGCCACGTGTTGGTATTCAGGAAATACATCCCCACAACTGCCCTCTAGGTTTTATTACCTCGGCAATCTGAGGTCGGCATTCTGAGGTGATGGAACCTATATCTGTATTTTCTTCCAGCAAATCGGCTTAAGATTTGACAGCCGAGATCATTCATTTCTGACCGACATGCTTTCCCTAAAAAATCAAAGATTTTTAAGGAACTTTTTACGCGCATGAGCTGTCATGCACTTTAATTCAACCGTTTTAGACACGCATTTCATCTTTATTGGTCCGTGCCTGTGACGCGCTTGTAAGCCGTCTTTAATCTATCTGCGCCGTCTGACGCATGCGTTTTTCCAGGCGTAGTAAATGCCTTATTTTGCCGCCGTTTCACGTTTTCAACAAAAACACTACTTTTGCCTTCGTCTCTTCACTTTGCGCTTTGATTCACTTTCTCGAATCCGCCATTGTTCAAGCTCCAGGCTCTGCAACTTCATTCGTCTCTCTGGTGAGGCTCTCACTACTTTGTCCCTTCTGTAACCGCTCTTCACTTTGCGCTTTGATTCACTTTCTCGAATCCGCCATTGTTCAAGCTCCAGGCTCTGCAACTTCATTCGTCTCTCTGGTGAGGCTCTCGCTACTTTGTCACTTCTGTAACCGCCGTCTGTCTTCGGTGAACTTCATTCCGGCTTCAATTTCTCTGGTAAGCCATTATTCTTTATGTATTCAGTTCACTGATGTTCTTCTATCTTCTTGCTGCCATTACTGTTCTATTTAAACTGTTAATTCCGTGAATCATATTTATTATTCACTACTTGCATTTTTGCCACTGTTCTTGGCCCTGTAGTTCTTGTTTTCTTTATGCTTTTGAGAACCCCACTTCTGTTCTTCATTCTGAAACTGCGTTCTGGTTTCTTGTTTCCTGTGTTGTTTCCCAGATCTCTGCCTTCAATTTTTGCTTTCAATCTTTGCCTTCATAGATTTAGGTTTGGGATTTGTCTATAGAACCTATCAATTCTTAGGAAAAAACTGAAACAATCCTTACCAGCATATACCTAGGGTTTCGCCGAGGTCCCGATAACCCCTTAAGAGCATCTTCTTTTTGAAACCTAGCCCTCTAATTTTAGGCCGATGTTATGGGTATGTGGAGGCACAAGGTAGATACCCCGACCAAACTTGAGTACTTTAGGCAAGAGTTCTCTATCCCTGCCGATGTCCACCTGAGACTGGCTGGGGATGGCGACTCCATCATGCCTACAGAAAATGCCATGCCCCTTTCCATTGTAGCTTTTACTGAGTGTGGACTTCGGCTCCCACTCAATATCTTTTTTCGCGAGATTCTTCATTATTACAAGTTAAACCCCATGCAACTGGCAATCAACTCTTATCGAGTGATTTTTGGTATTATCGCCTTAGCTAAACAGGAAAACGTTAGGATCACCCTTGCCGATATCCAATATTGTTATACCATGTGCGTCCTTAACTTGAAGGAAAAAGGTTACGTCTATTACCTCAAGCCGAGGTCCACTGAATTCAAAATCGTAGCCGACCTTCCAGACTCCAACAAGAGGGCTGGAGATGATTATGTTATTGCTTCGGGAAATTGGGAGTTTGGCGCAGACGATGACGCCCATCTCTACCCTCTTCCCCGATCAATTAAAGAAGGCAAGGGTAAGAGCCCAGCGTCAATACTTAGTTGTTTCTGTTCAAATCTTCAATATTTTATCTGTTTCTAACGTCTGTTTCTTCTTGCAGACGTTCGCAAGCCAGCGAAAAACTTCTGCCAATCTTATGTTCCCAGTAAGGACCTGAAAAAACTCCTGGACTTGTCAGTTCACAAGAGAAAAGCACCTCTTCTTCTC